TGGAGAGGCAAGAAAAACACCCACCCACCACAAACCCCCCGCCACAGGGAGCATGACGGGAAAGGAAGACGGGGAGGGAGCAGGGCGAAGGAAACAAGCCCCGGGGAAGGGGGCGGTGCTTTCTGTGTGCTTAGCGGCGCAGACCCCGCCCCCTCGCTCCGCACCCCGCCCCCTGCCGGGGTCACGCGACGCCTCCATCCCCATTTCTCTCTCCCCCCCTTCCCGCTTGCGGCCTTAGCCGCTGTTTTGTCGGCGTTTCCGCTGTTTTGTCGGCGTTGCAGGCGGCGCCGCTGGACTATGGCTGAGGTGAGTCCCTGCCTGACCGCCCTTGCCCTGCCCGTTCCCCTTTTTCCTGCTCGCCCGCCCGCCTACAGCGACTCGGGGCCGAGGGCCGGGCGGTAGGGATCGCTGGGCCCGCCGTACAGGTGAGGGGCTGGCGCGGTCTCAGGCCCTAGCCTTTCCTCTTCCTTTCACGCCTCTCCCGTTTCTTGTTTCCCCTCAGCAGGGACAGGACAAGGCCGCGCTGATAAGCGAGACCAGGCGGCGTTTCGAGGCGGAGTACCTGTCAGGTGAGCGCCTCGCTGGTGGAGCTGGAGAGGGGCTGGGACCTCCATCCGTATGGTCTTTGGGGTTTGCCTGGTGTCGCTTTTTCCCTGTAAGCTTTCCGTATCCTCAGTCTCCCAGGTGCGTGGGTGTTGCTGACTTTTTCTTTTCGTGGCTGAAGCTACCGGGTAGGGGATGTACAAAGCAGGACGTTTTCTGGGCTGGTTCTTGGTGTTCTCTTCTGGGTCGCTGGCTTGGGCAACGAGACACGTTGGGGCAAAGGTCTGGGTCTTTTTGACTCAGTTATGTTTGATTGGCCACAGTGTGGGGTCTGGGACGCTGCTGTGCTTGGTGTTTTACAGACAAAGCATGGGAGGAAAAAAAAATTCTGGCCTCGACCAGTTTGTCAAGGAAAGAGCTGTTGTCTAGAGTAACTTGCACTTCAAATTTATGCTGGCCTTAATTAAAACTTGTAAATGAAGGCCAGGAGGTGCTGGGGATGCCTAGGGGAAAGGGGAGTATCAGGGTAAGCCTAGAGGGGTTTTCTTTCATTTCAAGGTTGATTTGCATTGCTTATGGTAGAAGAATATATAAGAATAGAGTATGTTAATAGTTGCAGTAAACAGTACATTTTATTATGACTGTGTAAAGACTATTAAAAACATGTCTCTCTAATTTTTAATGCAAATATAGTAAGAGCCCAGTAGTTTAGGAGTGGCATGCATCTCCTTTAAGCCTCAGTTCTGTAAACACATGCCTTACTTTTATGTTCCTGATAAGAATTATTGAGGTTACCTAGTTATCACTCTCATGTAAGGCTTGCACACTTCTATGACTTCTTTGTGATTGGCTGTAGCACCTTTCTTACAAGCTTTTAGGATCTTGAGGGTGGTACAACTTTGTTTTGTATGGTTGCTCTGCTAGCTTCCATAAAGGAAACTGCTTTGGCCATGGTTAGAGATTACATATATTTCTGGCAAGATGGCAAAATCATTAGAATAGTGTATTGAAGAAGAGTGAGTTTATTTTATCATTTGATATGTCTGTGTGGATAGAGATATCTCTGGCAGTCTTTAAGCTCATGCTTAAGAGTGTGGAGGATCATCTTAAATTATAAATTCTTCTGGCTGTTAATATTTTCAGTTAATGTATATATTTTCCTTTGATAGGTAATTAATCTTGCTTTGTATTCTATTATCCCAGAGTCACACTCATTAAAAATCACTTTGGAAAGCCTAGAACTGCTCTGGGACACTTGCTGCTGAAAGGGAGTATTACCTTTTCAGTTGATGTATCCCTTACAATCTTGGAATTCCACAGGTTTCTCTAGTTGTAATGAAGTCTCTGTGCAACTGGTTGTTACAGCCATTAAAATAATTGAATACTCTTGCAAGGTAAGCTGTAATCCTATTTGCAGTATTTTGAACACATTTTCTCAGTAAGCCCATTTTTGGTCATGGTTTAGGGCTCTTAGCCCTTTCAAGAAAACAGGATTAGATTTTTTTTGAGTTTACAGGCTTAAGTCCCTCCCTTGAATTTAGGAACGCCACAAGCAAATTAATGTTGTCATGCCCACTTCAAGTGTGAAAAACACAGGGGTTTAGATTTACTGTGGTCCTTCAGTCTTTACCGTATATGTTCTGCAATGTATTCTTCTATGCTGCTTAGTTGAAAAGGGGTCTGGAGGTGCATGTATGCAGACACCCCCAAGCACATGACTTTCTGTGTTGTAAGAGTACAAATGATTGCTTCAGCAATTTTAGTCTCTTTTCAAAACTAATGGCACTGTCATGGCACACTGAGTAACTGATACTTTCTGTGAAAGTTGAGTGTGGTCAAAGAATTGTGGCCTCTACAGGCCTAATTCCATCTCGAGGTGAGCTGCAAGTGTTAAAATTTGAGTAAAATTTTCAAAGACAGCTTTGTTTCTGGGGACACAACTGCCACTGATTTATTTTCTCTGAGGAAAGCAGTGTTCCTGATTATTCTGAAACCTTGGTATATGTGTTATGAAGTGATTCTTCCATATTATGGAACTCATAGTTACTGGTTTCCTCCCTCATGCAGCAAGAATTGCTAATAGTCGCAAATGCTGTAATGGTCTTGTAGTAATGTGTATTTTTGTTGTGAAATGAAAACTTATAGAGCCTATGACATCCTGATTTTTGGTTGAAATTGTTTATTGGCAGAATATGGTGTTTTAGATTAAACTAGAAAATGCAAGAGTATTATATAGCTGGTTCAGAGAAGTCTAATATTAAAATGCCACATCCAATACATGTTGGAATATTTCACATAAAAGTTACAACTGAATGATATGCTATGATCTTGACAATTTTCAGGGTAGGATGGGATAAATCTTGTTCAGCAATTGAGAGCACCAGAAACCTGTTTTCTGAATTGTGCAGCTGTTTCATCTATGTGACAAAATAATTATTTTAATAGATATAGTTTGGAAAATACAGCTTGGAGAACCTTATGGGCTCACTTTCCCAGAGTCTGCACGAGAACGAACTTTCTGAAGTTCAGCAGTCATGGCTATTGAGGGGTTCTAGGAGGAAAGCTTGGCCACTGTGAGATCTTATCTGAAAAAAATGCTTAGTGTTAACTGAGATCTTGTGCTGGTGGTTTTTTCTCTTCAGTTGACTTTGTAGCTGTATGTGAAAGACAACTTCAGCTCTTTTGAGGAATCTATATCCTTAGTAACTAAACCTCTTGTATTTAAAGGACATATTTCCAATACAGAAAAGTTTCTGTTACTCCAGTAGGCTAGCAAATGCTATCTGATGTGGTAGGCGGACAGCACTTTTTCGTTGTGGTTTTGGGGCTTAATTTCTGTCTTGTCTGTTTGGATTCTTTGTGAGAGTTGGTGATGTAAATGATTTGGGTGGTGACAGGAGCACTGAAAACAAAAGATTATTTTCTAGTACTGGCTGGTACTAACAATGTTTTCTAGCAAACAGTCTTGTCTTTATTCAGTGTGTTTTCATTCCGTAGAGGGTTTCTAAAATTAGCTTTTATTTCTGAGCTATTACTTTCCATTTTAATGTTACAATTGAAGTTATTTATAATCAAATCTTGGTAGATTTTTTCCATTCAACAAGTCTTCCATACTGCCTTTTGCATATTTACCAGTTCTTATTGCCTGTGTTCCCTGCCACTACCCATTTGCATCCTCTTCTTTTCTCCTTTAGGCAAAGCTTAATTTTCAGAAAAAGATTTTGCAAAAGAGGTTTCCCACTCTAATTTAAAAGATTAAATTTCATCATGACTTTCTTGCAATAGCAAAATGTATGTTAATCATATTAGCTAATTGCAAATGAAATTTTAGACATATAGGGCATCCTCAGAAAAACATGGTGCTCTGAGAATTATACGAAACTCTTAAGGTAATGTTTTGAATACTGGCTTATGTTTGTTTGTGCTCAAAAAAGCTCTTTGCCCTGATTCTTGGCTTTCAGGCTGAGAAATGCTGGAAGGATGAGATAGAGAACATTACAGACAGGATAAAAATCATACTGTTATAGAAAGCCATGTGATAGATGCTTGAGCTTTCTATTGAAAGTAGTCTTTGTCACTGAGAGTGTTCAGTTTTGCTAAAAGTTTAAATGTATCACATCTTGTGGAGGCAGATATCTTATTTGTTTATTGCCACTTTATTTTGTTGAAATAGCTCTTTATTGGGTGATAGTAGTTTTGTTTTCTTCATCCTTGTCCCCGTATGACTGCTGTCCTTATTAAATTGTTTTCAGTCCTCCCGATTTCCTCATCCAGCAATTAAAGACGCATACCTGAATGCTTATAGTACTTAGCTGAACATGTTAGGCATCAGCAGCCAATTAAAATGGTTTCATCCTTCTAGCCAAGGTCAGAGGAATAATTATGACCACTTCAGATGTGATACTTTGATTGAAATAGCTTAAGGCAGTAGTTAAATGGAGAGACTTTGTGTAATGGAACACTTGACATACTTTGCTAAGTTGCTTTTTACCAGTTTTTTGTACAATTGTTTGAATTTTTCTCTAGCATGTAGTTGCTATCCCTACTTAGCTTTGTGTATGACTTTGTGTAACATTTCTTTTCTAGATAAGAGTTCTTTCTGAAGGGAGGAGTCATTCTTACAATTGAATTCTGAACTTGTGGATTAATTTAGTGTGGGACTTAGCTGTCCTGCCCATTTTTTAGTCCTGTAGTCTTTCTTCTATGTTCTTGTTAAATGTTCTCAAATTTCTATTATATTTCCTAAAGCATGAATGCCAGAAGAAAACACAGCAGTGCTACATTGGTCTCCTGGTAATGTAGGTAGCTCTGAAAAAAAAAAAGTGAAGAGAAGGGATGTTACAATTTGTGCATCAAAAAATTTCGTAAATTTTTCCAGTGAAAGTGTTGCAGTGAAATTTTTGTTAATTTAGTTTTGCATGGTTCTAGAGGTCTTTTCAGAGCTGCTGTCTTGTGTTACATGCAATCTTATATGTTGGAAAATAGTACTTGAGTCATAGTTTCACTGTAAGTTTCTCAGCTTGAAGAAGACAACTATTAAAAGGGCAGAATGTGGTCGTAGAAAGAAGGTAACTCCTCACTTGAACAAGAAAAGAGGAAGGCAAGTAATAAGAAGCAGCTGTTCAAACAGAATGTTTTCTGTCTTCTCCCATGACCCCAAATCTTCATCGAAGAAATGAAAGTAATTTTAAGTAGCTATTTTTAAAATAAGGTCAAATAAAATTATGAACTTTGAAATCTTTAGAGCTCGCTCTGAGAACTGGTCAGTCTTCTTGCTTGCTCAAAGTTTCCTAAAGGCCTTTTAGGTGAGGGAATGAAGAGCTAATTTTGGCTGCTTTTCCTTGCTGTTGTCACTGCTATTCTCTCATATATAATTTGGAATTTGGTTTTGATGCTCTTAAATATATATATATATAAAACTTGCTAAGCAGATTATGCCTTTTCTTGCTTTTCTGGATCTCAGTCTTGCGTAGCTTCTGGACAGTTTACCAGTCCAACAGGACAGTCTTGCAGCACCCTGGTTTTACTGCTTCTGCTGGTTGTGGAACTATTCTGAGATACTGTAAGGTTTGATCTGTTGGGATGAGGGAGGAAACAGGTTGTCTTGACCATGAAATCTTTCACAAAAGTCTGACACTGTTATGTATGTGGCTTTCACTAGCTCTTCCTGAACAGAAGTAGCTGTGAATGCTGTTCCTTGAATTACTTTTGGTACAAGTGGGACATGTTCCAAACACCGTATGAAATTGTTTGTTATGGACCTAATTAGAGGTGTCCATCTTCCTGAGTAGAGGATGACTAAACTGTATGTCTCAGCATCTTAATGGCAGTTCTGCAGATGTAAAGAAACTGGCACTTAATTTTCTAGTAAGACACGCGTTATTATATGTTTACAGGTATTTTAAGTGGCTGGGCTTGGAGATTGTCTGAGGTCAGATAACTCAATTTATAGTTTCACCTGAATTTCCATTTTGGTGCCTCTCAGCTTCTGTTTCCTTTTTGACTTCTTAATTGTTCTGCAGGACGTTTAAATTGTTGAGAAGCCCAAAGGTCTATATTATTTCAACTAACTCTGTTTTAACTCCGGAAATTTCTAATAATTCAGTAACTGCTATCAAGTGTTCCATGAGTGTTTTAAAATTAGAAACATTCAGATTATTTTACAGCATAGTTTGCAGACAAGTTTCCAGATGTCTGTAGAATTATGGGAAATACACAGATTTGAAGAATTCCTCCTCTGAATTGACATATGTTCAACGACTGGATTATTGGAAGGACTCCAGCAGTTTTATATCTTTCTGCTTTATACGTGGGAGCTAAAACACCTTTCTTTTGGGTTCATAATCTATTCTATATTTTACTTATTTTGTAGCAAGAAATGGATAAATCAGGTAAGGTTGAAACAGGAATCAATACTCCTGTTGTTCTGTCGGTCTTCTTAGGCTTACCTCATTGAAATACCTGCATCTTGCAATTGCCTATAGAGGCAGAATTTGACTAGTTGGTCTTGATTTAGTGTGTGTTGTGGTATGTATGTATATTCAGATTGCATGAGTCATCTTGTTGAGAATTTAGCTGCTGAAGAGAGGAAATACTCTTAATTTTTTTTAAATGTCCCTACCTCTGAATCCAGCTGGCTTTTTTGTTGATGTTGAAAGTTTGGATTTTTTTTCCATTTCTCTTTGATTTTCTTAAAGTATTTACAAAGTTAAATATCTGGGGCTTTTTTTAGTATTATCTAAGTTCAGAGTTTGGGAAAATTTGATGCTCAGAAATGTGTGTACTGAGGCATGTTCTATGTAATGAGATGTGAATGTTTAAGTTATTTGATGTAAGGTGCATTATTCTGTCTTTCTGACAGTTCTGCTCTCAAATAGATACTGAGAGCAAAGAGAGCCTGAGAAAGCAGTGTGAAACATTATCCTCTTAAGTTTCTTACCTGGTGGTGTGTGATTTTTCTCTTTAATTACACAGTACCCAAATCCTTTATAGAAATAAGATGTACATGGGATAGATCTTGGAAAAATACTTGGCTGATTAACTGCAGTCAGTCTTAGCTGGAAACTAGTGCATGTTAGAGATTATGAAACCAAGTTGGAGTAAGGTAGCTCAGGCACTGGAGACATGGAATACTGACGTTCAAGTAAATCTTTGCTCTTGCAAAGCCCTAGTTTGCTGTGGCTATGAGTAGCTATATATATTGCTTGAATAGCCAATATACCATAGAGAATAATCCATAGCATAGAAGAGCTAGTATACAATGGCTAAGAGAAGCCAGTGCTTCTCTTACTTTAACTGACTCTGGATGTGCTAGCTTAGTTACTGTACATGACAATATCTCTGAAAGGCATTTGGGTTGGAATGAATATTACACAAAAAGAGGCTGTGGATTCTTTCTACACTTCTGAGTTGTCAAAACTTGACTGGAATAGGTACTTGGCGACCTGTGAGGAGGAGTTAGGACTGAGATGACCTGCAGAAATTTTCTCTAATGTTAATTCTTTGTAACTCTAGCTTGAAACCAGGTATTAGTGTTTTGTAGACAAAACTGTCTGAATCATCAATCATTGGAGGAATAATCAAAATTCAAATGAGCAGGTGAGACTTTCCAAATTTAATAACCAAAACCTTTGCAACTTGTTCCATCTGTGGTTGACCTAGAGTCACAGAGTAGTTAAACAGCATTTCAGTCTTGTGCTGAGTGTTCACTTTACTGGGCTTAGTGAGAATATCGGGAATGAGCTGTCTGATGCAAGTGTGGAAATGGTGAGAAAAGGATCTGAAAGAGTGAGAGTGCTTTTAATGCATTGAAGGCTTTTGGGCAGAGAGGGGCAGATAAGGGACTAAGATTTAGGAAAGTGGCATTTGACTGTAGGCTTGGCTAAGGAACAAGGTAAGGTAATGGAATGGGATCAAAGGAAAGAAAATTAAAACCCAGTGAAGAAGGAACTGAGTAGATAATATTCACATTGAGAAGCACTTGGATGTGCAGAGATGCATTGAGGGAGTGCAACTATAATAACGGTTAGTGGATGGAGGCATTTAAAATGGGTACATTTAGTTATATTGACTGATTTGTGACAGGAAACAATGTAAATGGAAAGACAAGTAAAATAGGTCATATCTTTGCATATAGGCCAGTAAAACCAAAAATGCTAGATTAATTTAATGGTGTCTTTTTCTAACATCTCCCTCAGAGTTAAAATGTCTGATTGAAATATGCATCCCTAAACCATCCAGTCATAGTTCTAAAGTTATTTTAGTTGTGATGGCCTTGAAAGTAGTTATTTTGAGCTTATTGCTGCTTGCACAGAAATAGTGTTTCCAGTATGTGAAAATTAACATCTCTTTTATTAACAACCAATCACAGTTGGTAACAAAAAGTTTTTTTTTCCCTACTAATCACACATAAATTTAAGTGAATAGTTTTAGATCTTATGTTTGTTTTAATAGTTAGCAAAGAAATGTATATCAGTGTCTGTTGCTTTCAGAAGCTTGTTTCTGTCATGGGATCTTACTTAATTTACATTCAAACTATGCAGATTTGTCAGATGAAGAGGAGCATTGATCTAAAAACTGAGCCTCTATTTAAGGTTATCTACAATAAAAAGGGTCCATTTACGCATTTTACAAACTTTCCTGTTTAAAAAACATTTTTTTAAAAAAGTAAGGGGCAGCAGCAACTCCTGTTTAATCTGAAGTGTTTCCTAGAGCATGTGAACCTGTTATCCTGTTGCTAACCTGCTACAAGAAGAGTGAGGCTTGACAGGGCTTGTACTGCTCTAGAGTTGCATGCAGTTTGTGATCAGCAAGCTAACGATTTATAACAAGTGGAGAATCTGTAATCTCATTAAAGAAAACAGTTTTGTTTAATGCAGTGATGTATAGTGTGTGGTCAAAAATAGTCATTTTAACATCTGTTCTCTGACATGTAGTGGCCTGAAATGCTGATGCTTCTAAGTTTGAGAGCTCAAGCCTGAACTAGTGATGCTTAATGTATACATTAATCAGTACACAGATTCTTAGACTATATACTAATTTTAGACAGCTGTTTTTAGAAAAAACAAAGGCTCTCTACATATTCTTGTTTTCGAATGTTTTTTTCCTTTGTACAAGTATCACAGAAAATAGTTTTCTTAATAATCATCATAGTAGATAAGACCTTTTTAATCAGTTTCTCATACCATGCTTTGTCTGCTTAAATGTGAGACTGCGAAGGAAATGCTATGTATCTAGTAAATGCTTATATTGAAACTCGACAAACCTCCTTTTCGTGTTTTCATAGAAAATACTAAATTCTTAAAATAATTGATTTATTTCCTAGATAAATCAGATAAATACGATTCTAGAGATGTGGAAAGGCTTCAGCAAGATGATAAATGGGTTGAAAATTATCTTATTTGGCGGCATGACGTTGTGGATGATACATTAAAGATGATTCATGAAAGCTTTCAGTGGAGGAAAGAATATACAGTTAATGGTAAGCTATGATGTATAATGATTTTGATGGTGTATGTTGCTTTCTTACTGAACTACAACTGACTTCTTTATGTAGTTTCATTAAGCACGTTTTAAAAGTTTTGTAAGTACTACAAGAGCTAAGCAAGAACTTGCCTACTCAGTTAAAAAAAAAAATAGAACTGTTGCTTTTTATGTTTACCAGTTCTGTTTCATAGTTTTGTTGTGGTTCCATATGCCTATTGAAAGGTTGTTAAAGAGGAAGGAAGGCAGGCAGGCAACTATTTCTTGTTTTGTCTTTGCGCATTTGCTAGAATGGAGTCCTTAAAAATAGCAAACAACAACAAAACTCACAAAAAACAGGGCTCTGTTTATCATAGCAGCATTGGTAGAATAGATCTGGGTTTTGTGTTGTGAGAAAGTTTTGTAGGTGGAATTTACAGGATTTCACAATCTGAATTAAAGGGTAGAGCAAGAGCAGCTGCAGATATGAGCAAAAATTAACATTTGCAGAATTTTTTTCTTTAGTTCTTATTTCTTCATAAATAGATTTTACTCTGTAGCATGAGAGGAAGAAGATAGCGGAGATTTCAGATGAACTCAATACGTACATTAGTTTGGTAAAGGCCTAGAAAGTGATTTATAAAGACACTTCTATGTTTTGTTGCTAGACTTCTGCATTTTTAAAGTGACTTCTGTTTAGTTACAGTGTTTTTATTAATATGATAACTGAAATAATCATTCATTTGGCTTTGCAGATTTGTCAGAAGCTGTTCTTCCAAAATGGTTATTTGAAAGTGGTACTGTCTATCTGCATGGATATGATAAAGAGGGCTATAAATTATGTAAGTTACACAGAAAATAATATTTTTAGTAATTCATCTTTTTTTTTTGTTTCCAGCATGTTAGCATCTGCTTTGAAAAAATAGATGTAGTAGGTACATATTGGTAACTTTTTACGAAAAAATGAGAAGTTGGTAGCTTTGGGTATCTCTTTGTATCATAGAAGTGGAATGAGGATACTTTATCAGCAGTTTTTAAAAATCATATACCTTTATCCTAATTATAATGCAGGTTTTAACTTTCCTGTTGAAGTACATTGTTTCTATATCTGCTATGGTGAGTGTATGACTAGTATAAATGTTCATTATTACAGTGCATTATCATTGCTTTTCTAGCAGCCAACATTGCATACTTGCAGTGGTTCACAGGAGGTCTGCAATGGTTTTTCTTGGGGTTTTTTTTGTTTCTTTTTTTCTGATCTCATTGGAATATTCAGTAGCAGCATGGACAGCTGAGAACTGTTGGAGAATGAACTCTGTAGCTGCATGATTAACTTCTAGTAATTAAAGAATAAGTTTTTTAGGGAAACAGTGAACATTGCATGAAATGCTTCTGAGGTTTTTAATTGTGTATAGTAGATGGACAATATTATTTTCTAAAAATGAAGCTGTTGTAATATCTTGCATATTTACTTTTAATTAAGCTTAAATTCTGTGAGGCAAAAGAGGTTTTTTAAACAAATCATTCATGAGGCTTTCCAAGCAGTGATCTTTATTTTAAAGTATAAAGAAGTTCTTCAAGAATTATTGGTTACTTTCACATGAGTCCTGTGTTTGAATAGGGGTATGTTTTTGAAATTCTGAACTTGCAGCATCTAGTTAATAAGCTATATTTTTTTAAAAAAGTTTATTTCTTTAAACAAGCCGTAACATTTTTTTTGCAATTGGAAGTAAAAGATATAGAGTAGAAATCTGGTTTTTAGTAAGATTTTTTCAAGTTTAAGGGAGAAAAACATTAGAGTATCTAAAATTCTTTTCAGGGCCTGTCCAATTTTGGTATTGTAGAGGTAGTACCAGAATTGTAAGTTACTCTTCACATTGCTACCCCGAATATTTCTTTTATCACTTCATTGTGTAATCAGTAATTTGGTTTCAGACATTTGTTTAAAGTCTGTTACTTTGAAATACACTTCTTTTCATGGAATAGCTTCTGCATGACTCATTTCTTATTTCAGAAGGGTATGTGGCGGGCTTTCATTTATATAGTGTTGCTCATTTTCTGAATTTTTAAATTTTATTTTAAAAAGGTCTGTCACTTTTTATATAATTCATAGTGTGTATAAATAGTTTTTCAGAACGTATTGACTACAGTGCTGTAGAAAACATAAGAAAAAGAAACATAATTTTCACAACCACAACTGTACTTAGAATATATGCAGAACATAATATAATATCTGAGGACTGTGTGATTTAATTTGAAATTATAGTCTAGGTAAGAAGTGGTCTTTAAATACATGGAAAGTATTTTTTTGCTCAGTTCATTCTGTGCTGTAATTCTTTGTATTTTCAGTTTTTAAAAAGTTTCAGTATATAAAAATGTGAGCAAGGAAAGGGGGAGTGTGTGGAAAGGAATGCAGTTGTTTTTCTGGCTGTTCAGTGGCTACCATCAGTAGAAATGTGCAATATAAAGTCAGAGCTGTTAATAAATTTCAGTGCATCCTGCATAGCTATTTGCATAATAGTAAGAGTTTTTTGTTAATTTAGATCTGCTGTTTCAATTTTTTGTGTTTTTCTTTCTTCTCACAAGTTTGGTTCAGAGTGAAACATCATGTAAAAGATGCTAAACAACAACTTGATAAAAAGAAAGTGGTAGCTTTTTGGCTAGAACATTATTCCAAGAGAGATCATGGAAAGCCCTTAACAGTGGTATTTGACATGTCTGAAACAGGAATCAGTCACATAGTAAGTATTTTTATTGTGTTTTTCTGATTGCTTTCCGAATTATTTAACCTGTGCCACCACAGAAGTGGGAGTCCCTGTGCAGTCCTTGACACCTAAATAACTTAACAGTTGCTCACATCAGTGATATGTTGGATTCCTTCCTGTGACATGAGCAGTTTCTGAAATATTTTATTACATATTAAACTTCAAGTCTTGTGCAGGATACTGAAAACTTGCTTTTAGTTTGGTGACTGAGCCAAAGTGCTTGTATGTAGTAGTTGCTCACCAGTCAGTCGTCATGGATGACAGTAGTAGAACTTGGTTCTTAAGCACCCAAAAGTCAATAGGCCAAGCCTTTTATTGTAAGTACAGTTGCCGCTGCTTCTTCAACACCTCCATTTTCATTGTAATCATCTTCTTTGGATGAGTCAGCCGACAGTGAAGGAAAAATAAGGCAAAAGTGAAGCATTAAAACCCTTCGATGCAGTGGCTGAGATCTTTGAGAGTGATATGTTCTGACAAGTCAGCATCTTCAGTTGACAATTCTGATCCTGGTCCTGCCTCTCTCTATCCCCCATGCTGTGTATGCTTTCCCTGTCTATTTAAATATTTCTTAAGTCCCTGCATGTGTGTCTCCCCACTCACTGAGTTTTGTTGTGAAGTTAGCTGGATGCAAAACAGCAATTCATCAAGTAGGCATTGCTTTCAGTATTCATATTAGCCAAATATAGCCCAAGTCTGTCTTTTCTCTTGCTAACAAAATGTTACTACAATGATGAGTGAAGAAGTCTGCATGCTTGTTCCTGTGTACAGGGTGTCTGAATTTGGACGGATGTGAAACTTCTAAATTGTACGCCTGTCTATCAGACTCAAGCTTATACTTACTCAGGATTAGTATCTTCACCTCCTTTTTCAGTTCGTTATCCAACCTGTCAGCTTTACTGAAGACTGCCTCCTCTAAGCTTGACCTTACATAAACAAGAAATTTCAACTTTTCATTTAGGAGACAATTCTCTTATCACATTTTTTAAATTCTCATCTCTTTTTTTAAAATGCATTTCTAGATGTTCCTTAGGATGACAAAATGAAGGAGGAACAGTGTAGCTTAGCCACTTCTGGAAAAGGGATGATTTTTCAAAAAGTTACAATTAGATAAGAAAATTCTAATTATTTTAAGAGTAGGATTTCACCTTTGCATTGGGCACAATCGTAGAATTGAATCACTTAAGAAGCCAAGAGGGGTTATACTAGTTTAGCACACTATCCAGAAAACTATTTCCCACTTGTACAATAACTTACCAAATTCAAAGTTTCATAAATTTTAAAACCACTTCAGAATTAAGAGCTTGAAGTTCCATGCTCTAGGTGTTTGGAAATAAGCATTAGGAAAATTCCATATCAATTAGTCATGTCAGGTCAGTAGTTTACTTTGGGAATAACTTCAGGAAGTTTTGGTCTCAGTACTTTCTTCTCTTTCTCAACACTTACTTGCTTGCATGTTGTCGTCTGGGCTTTTTCCCATTTTTAATACATCCTTTGCTACTATGACTGTGCCTTAGTTGGATTTGGGTGTGTCTTATTAAAATTTCCTGGTCCAAAATCTGCTGTTGCTGTAGAGCAAAAGTTGTGGTTAATTTCTTGGTCACTAGAATTACTTAGAACTAAGTGGACTGGTGTAATCTTTGTTATATGTTGTCATCTTTACAGTGAGTCTTTAAATACACCAGATCTGGAGGTTTTTTGGTGATCTGCTTTAGGTATGAGCAGGTTGTGTACAGCTTCATCTACAGTTCCTGTTAATACAGTCTGAACAGTACACTACTACTACCGGTAGAACTCGGTCTGGTTCATAGTATAGGATGAAGCTGTAGCTTACTTATTGGTTGAGATCCTCTTCTGAAATGATAATGTGTTTTTTGAACTTACATAGATTTAAGAATGATTGTATCTTGTGGTGTTTCTTCCTTTAGGTCTGGTTTTCTATCTATTATCTTTATATCGAAAACATCTTTTAAGATTTGCTTTGTAGAATCTTGTGTAGAAGATTAGAACAGTATCATCTGCATTTTTACTGATCCTCAACTTAGACAACCTAAAATCAGGACTGGATTTTTTTGAAGGGTGGGGGGGTGACAACATTTCAGTAATTTTAATGTAGATAGATGAAAATCTACAGAGTTCTGTCATTTTCTCCAGCTGAGTTTAGTAAAGTACATTTTTAGCACCCACTTCCAGGAGCAGAATCTAAGCTGTTTTAGATTGAAAGATGGAGATCTTGCTTATCATTACATATTTGTAGATTTAAGCTAATAACTGAAAATCTCATAGATTATCTAAAAAAACACAAAGCACCAAACTTTATTTCTGTAGATTATTGAAACTTTCCTTAGCAAATGCCATGCTGTCCTGTTATTCTTACAGGAATGGCTAAAATTTGTCTTGTTCTTCCTTTTTTTTTTTTTCTTGGTATGATGGGAATGCATTTAAATATAGGCAGAAAAGAAAAAAAGCTTTGTTCTGCCTTTTCCAGGCACTATGATTAATGTTGCATTAGGACCTTGCAGCTGTGCAGTACAAGGCCTCAAGCCTTTGAGAAGATGTTTTGACAAATATGGTGTAATTCAGTTTTGCAAGGCAGGATTGGTGCTCTTACCTATGCCTTGGCAGCTGTCTTTTAATACTTTTAAAGATACTGAAGCCATGGCTTTATATAACAAGAATATGGGATTGCAGTAATCTCCTGAAAATCAAAGCAACTTGCTTCAGAATATGCTCAATAAAACTCAAATCAACTTCTTTCCAGTGTCTTTGAGACTCCCAGAGACACAGTCTTGGCACATACTCTCTGTAAGTGTCTCATTGTACAGTCTTGCTTTGTAGTTAGTACACTTATCACCAAAAAAGAATATTTTTTTAATGACTGTAGCCTTGTAGAGTAACTTATAAATTTTATCCTAAAAGAACTTGGATTGCTGAGTTCTTTTCCAGAGCATGCTATGTTTGTTTCTTCCATTGCTATGGATATGTACTCTGTCAGCTTTTATCACTGATATGCAGCCAGGTAATTCTGGTACCACATGCCTTGTTGCATCAGTTCAGATACCTGGAATAGATCCAGTTCTTGAATGGTCTGCTGAAATCTGTACTTCTAATTCCAGATTTTCATTAAAACAGGGGATCCATCCTAATAATTTGGCAGTGCTGCTTTTGGATAGGCAGCAGAGTAAAGAGCAGCATCCTCATTAATTCACAGGAGATTCTAATCATTGCTTGGAAATCTTATCACTGTGTTTGTGCTATTAAGTGACAGATACTGCATTCCATACAAGCAACAGCCAGTTGAGATAAATGCTTCTATTAAAGGCTACCTTCTTTCTCAATCTTTCAAATAGTTTCTAGTTACCGAAGCTACTAATAAAGCTTTCAGGTTGTGAATAATCCTCTTATACAGAGTGTTGCATTTTGTTTTGTTTTTTTTTCTTTCTCTGTCCACAAATGTGGTAATAGTGTGTTTACATCACTTTAGGAGCATGTTCCCCATAGCATTTTTACTGTTACGGCAGGCTTTGCATCCTCCATAAGCAATATAGTTTGTACTATTTCTGAAAGTCTACTTTTGTAGTAGTGGTCATACAAGTACTCATGGCAGGCTTTCCACTTCAGTAACTTTACTGTGGTATCTCTTACATTATTATCAATATCTGTTTCATAAAATGTCTTTTTTGCCCTTTGCTGTTTAGTCAGTTCTTTTATATGTGAATTTTGCAATGGAGGCTTGACTGTACTGTTACTGTGTGGCTGCTCATTGGATGGAAGCACTCTGAAAATGGGTGGTATACCAGCAATGCTTTGAATGCTGCCTCTGTCCACGGTTTCTCTGCATACCACAGACTATGACTAAAACCAGATTATTTTAAAAGGAAAACTTAGAGTTTTTTCTCTGGAAGATCCTGAGTCCAGTAATACATTGAACAACATGCAAGATAAATTACTGAAAGGAAATTTTAGTATGTTTAGTGTTCTCTGTTGTAAAGCTTTAAGAATAATCTGTCAAGTTCCTTTAGGGTTAAAGGTTTATTTTTTCCATGTATCTTTCCATTACAGCTGTTAATACTCTACAGTAGTTTAGTCACTTAATGCATTAATAATAGATCTTCTGACTTCTTTGTCATATTGTAAAGCTAAGTTTGACAACAATCCTGCAGCAGTTTAATGAAGTGAAAAGTATTGTATTGAATTTGGATGATGTTTGTAGTGTGTGTAAAATTTCAATAAAGATTATTACAATACAGGTATCTTGTGCTATTCAATAAATTCTTAGCTTAACTAAGCCTGTATTTCTAATGTTTAGGTTTACGTTGCGCTTATTCTGTGCTTTTATTTTAGGACTTGGATTTTGTTCGGTTTATTGTCAACTGTTTTACAGATTATTATCCAAATTTCCTCAGTAAGTATTGTATCTTAAACACTGTAGACTTATGTAATAAGAACACTTCATAATATTGGAGATGATGGGGAAAAACACATTTGCATGTGTTTTTTGTGGTAACTACATGGAATACGTGGATGTTACAGATTCAAAATATTTTTGCTCGTAAGTCAGCACAGATTTGTATTGTATATAAACTTTAATAAAAAAATCAACTGTCTTTTTGGGAAATAAGAATCTTAAGACTTACTTTTACAGATTAAAAATTACATAAGCATCTAGTAGACTAAATTGGCTTGTTTCTTTTGCTCTTTGTTACTTGGGTAGAAGCTTTACAAGCTTGCGTGACAGCTTGTATCCTTTAGGAGTCTTCAGGGCATAAAGAATGAATGCCTGTAGAAAATTTTAGGGAGTGGTGGTTTACTCTGAACAGATTTAGGCATGTTTTTGTGCACACTTAGAAAAACATGCATACTTACCTGCTAACTTTTTTATGGATAGGCAAACACTGTGTAGGTTTCACCAGTTCATCTTTCGTGAGTTATAAATTTTAGGTGAAAATAGGTCTATGAATATTGAAATTCTGTACAGCAGCTGCTTAAACTCTGCATGTTAGTTTTCAGCTTGCTGATCAAAGTTCAAAACTTTGATCAAATCTCAAACTTAAAGGTAAGTGCAACAGTATGGTTTTGTTTCTTTGACATTAAAGAGAAAAACTCAGGACACTTCTGTGTCCAAATACTTACCTTTCAGGCATCTCTGCTAAAACAAAGACATCTTGGGGAAAAAATGTAGATGCTTGAAGACTCTTAACCATTTGCTTCTTTGGGAAGATAAGGTGCCAAATATAGCTGTTAAACTTCCTTTGCCACTCAGTAGCTGCTTTTCTAGGTCAGGTTGAGATCTTATCTTTCTCTGCCTTATTTGCAGTGATTACTTATTAGTAACAGTATGTCAGGAAAGTAGTATCCTAGAGAAGTATATGAACAGTGTATAACATAAAATTTTATTAACTGTTTTCCAAGCAAACAGTTAATGCCTTTGTATAGCAATAGAAATAGGTTTATACATGTTAAAAATAATTATATAAAATTGCTTCTACAAGGAAGTGAACGTGGAAGTTTCTAAAAATGTGTGTTCCCTTTATATGTGACCGTTACTGCTGTGCTTCTCAGAGAAATATGTAACACTTGGTATTCAGACTATTTCCTTTTCTTCTGTCTTTTCAGCAAAGATAGTGATCTTTGAAATGCCATGGATAATGAATGGTGAGTTGTTTAGTTTGCTTTTTTAAATCATGATAACTTTTTAAAATTAGTTGAATAAATAGGAAGTGTTTTTCTGCTTTGTGTAGATAAACCTGAATGGTGAGACTATTAAGCATACATCTTCAAATCTGTCACTTTGTAGGTTGCATGCTTCTTGTTTTCCTTCTACCATTGTGTTTTGGATCATACTCTAAATGGAGTCCATATTCATCCTGTCATCTTTAAAGTTTGGTAGACCTTGATAAATTGTCTTTTCCTTTAATGTTTCCCACTGTAGTCCTTTCAAAGCTAGGTCTGTTCATGATTTAGGAGTACTGTCATTAACAAAGAAAGGACACTTATAACCAGTGAAAAGCTAGAATACACAATTTAAGACAGATGCCTGACACGGAACACTGATACTGTTACGTATGTTTTGATGTGTGTATTTCAATAATTGTCTTTAATTATAATGTACACGTTAAACATGTTTTGCCCTTATTTTTACCATATAAATATAAATTTTTATGATGGGTTTATATTTTTCTGTATATTCATGTTCTGCCACCACTGAAATAAGTATGGTGTTTGAAAATACTCTGTGGGTCTAAAAAAAGTGTCCTTTAAAGCAGCAAAACATGTCAACTAGGAGAAGTGTAAATGTACCTTTCCCAACCTCCCTCACTCAGATTTGGAAATATTATTGCTTTTATCCCCTTGCTACTTCCTGAGCTAAATTCCAAGACAACAAAACTGTCGTTTGTTAAATGAAAGATACGCTTTCCATGGAAGTCTGTGGTCTATTAGCATTCATCTATAGAAAACTGTATGTCCATAAAGTACTTTCTCTGTAAATAATACTCTTTTCCTTGCACTGTTTATCCCTATTATAGTAGATACTTTAAGAGTAGGTCCTGCCATGTCTAACTGGTTGTAGCTCCCTTGTGTTCTGTAAGGGTTGCAAAACCCCATCCTGACAACTTATTATACCTTTTTTTTTAAAGCTGCTTTTAAAATTGTGAAGGGTTGGCTTGGCCCAGATGCAATAAGCATGTTAAAGTTCACAAACAAGAGTGATGTACAGGAATACATCAGTGGAGAATATCTGCCACCTCACATGGGTGGAACTGTAAGTATATTAACGGTTCATGGTCCTTTTGTGTTAGATTGAAACACACCTATATAAATTACATATGTGGCATTGAGAGTTGGCACTTTATGCATGTGAAACTTCTTGAAATTGTTCTGCCAATGATAATTTGTAAATCGCATTAGTATAACAAGGATTAACTTCATGAGAATTTGATATTTGGCAGTCTTAAATACAGATTTTTTTTTTCAGAATCATTCATTCACTTCCAAATCACTGGAAACCACTTAGTTTTTTAGCCCTTTAAAAAGAAAATCCATTTTAAGTATCAGTCTTCCTTCTACACATTTCGACCCCCCTACCTGATGAATTAAAGATTATGTGTTGGTTTATGAAAGAAGTTCTGTGAACTGAAAATAGGTTTCATGGCCCTCTGAGATTTTTTTCATCCTGCTCCAAAGATATGATTCAGTAAAGACCATCATATTGCAGTTATTTTTCCTTTGTTGTCTCTAGGGCTATATTTTAAGACATGGTTGCAGAAGGCTCTCTTTAAAGAATATATTAATGCTTCAAGGAACATGCTACAGTCCAGTATCACTTTGACAGAACCTGGATCCTATTCTAGTGCCATCTAAATAGAAAAACAGCACAAGCCTCTTGTGCAACAGGTTTCGTCTTTCACAGAGCTAGTAAATCAGTTTGTATAATCTTTATAATAGAATTTTTGGAAAGAGGATCTTTTTCCTTTAAAATTTCTGTAGACCATTTATGGTAATGGAATAAGCCCACTCTAGAGGAGTTATTTTTACCTGTTGTTTTCCATTTCTTTCTGAAGTGTTTTTAAAGCTATGGCAGTAACAATATGGAGAAAAGGAAGACTGCTTCAGCAATGGTAGGAGAGGCTGTATTCCTTTGTATATAAACTGAAGGTTCTGGTAGCCAGAACATATGAAACTTGTTTTGGGAGCAGAGACTGAGTTACCTTGTTTCTTACTTGGCTGAAAGTAGCAGCCTTTTGAAAGTGCTTTTGCACAAGATTCTTGAGGAAAAGGTAGTATCTTCTTTCTCCATGGAAAATTGCTGCCTAAACTCCCCAGTCTTTTATATAAGGTGCACAAATGTATGTCTTTTTCTTATAGAAGGTTTGTCTTGGAGAACTTGTTGAAGTTGCCCAAAACAGATTTAGGAGTAAGGTAATAATAAGTAATAATAAGCAGTCTGGAAAACTAGGGTTAGGTGCTCAAAAGGCACTTGCTAATTGTTTTTGTTTAGTAGTAAATGTAAAGTAAGTTAGTGTTTTCCTGGATTCCCAATACGTTCTGTCTCACATCCTACCAGTTCCAACTCTGTTAATGGTGGAACAGTCCAGATCTTAAGGCATAAATGTTTTTGGCTGACCAGGAAGATTCATTGCCTCTTCAATAACATTTTGTGCAGGATTGATGTACATACAGTGTACACCTTGATACAAGACATGTGGGGTTTTAGTTTATATATTTGCCCAGCTTTCTTTGTCAGAGATGGGTAATTCATCCTTGTTAAATCCAAGTTTCTCTCCACTGGTGCCAATATTGAACAATGTGTGCAATCAGAATGCTGGTACTTTAAGGACCTAAAGGACAAGCTTTATAGGATATTGCTTGAGCCAGTGGATACCTGTTTCGTTCACCTAAAGTTGTGTGATTGTTGCTTCAGCCTGAAGAATAAGAGAAATTTAGGCTTTGATTATAGATTAGCAGAAAGTATGCTGTTTTGTTCAAGTTTTCCTTGAATGCCCCTATCTATTTTTCCCCCCCCTAACATCACATTATTCTTTGTTTTGAGAAAATATACTTGCTTACAGAGAGCTCTGTTGAAACACTTCTTAAGTGTCTGCTGATAGCATAGTTTGGAAACTGTGGGCACAGCTCAAGTCTGCCTTACAGGAGTCAAAACGATGTTATTTTATTTTCTTCCTCCACTGGAAAAACTGACAGGCTAATTCAGTTTACTTGGGGTTTAAAATTGTTTGAAAATGTAGTAGGAATAGAGACTCCTGTTTAAATGCTGTTTCTAACATGAGATATAATAAAACTATTTTGCGAATGTTAAGAGTTTTTAGTTAGCAAAAAATGTTTTTCCTTATCCTCCAATAGAGAAGATACTTTTACTGAAGAAGCATTGAGAACTTAGGTATGCTGCTTCTGCATGACGTGGGTGTCTTGAATAAAGTCTTTATCTTGATTTGGCATTCTAAAGACTGAGGTCTGAGTTACAGGATGTGTTAAAGGTCCACATGCTAGGTTAAACTTGAGGGATTGTTTGGGGTTGTTTTAAGATTTTGTTTATTGTTGGAGTTTTTGTTATGTTGTTATTTGGTTGGGTTTTTTTTGGGGGGGTGGGTTGTGGTTTTTTTAACTGTGGCTATTTTGAAACTACAATACGAAGAACAACTGAAGTTTTTCATCACTTTTGAAACATTCTATAGTAATAGCTGTCATAAGTATTTGAACCACGTTTCTTAGAACTAAGAACAAAACTTCAACGTTAAGACTCCAAATGCTGTTTCTTGATAGACTAGATTATGCAGTTCTGTTGTAACTCAAAGTAAAAGCAGTAGGTACAGTTTAGTGACTTCATTGGGTGACTATTTGTCTATCAATAATTATTATGCCTATTGGTAGTGTCAGCTTTCTGCACAGGGACCAACTTAAAATGGAAAAGGGAAATATACAAGTCACGTGAAATAAACAAAATTGATAGTATTTCCATTTAAAAATATACTAGAGAAGATACTTCTCATCCTTCTAAATAACTGGTCCTTTAAAAATCTCCTTATATCTTAGGATTCTTTCAAGTACAGCTATCCTCCATTGGTTGATGATGATTTTCAAACTCCTCTGTGTGAGAATGGGCCCATTACTAGTGAAGATGAGCATGAAAGTAAGGAAGAGATAGATACCAAGGAGACTGGGGAGCTGAATGAAGAACAAAACCATAATCAGAAAAAGGTATCTAACTCTGAAGGTTGAGGCAAGACTGTTTAAATGGTTACAAACTGGAACAGGAGGCATATAATTTGTTTCTTGTCAAGCTTTTCTTTGTGTTTTGGTGATTTTTTTTGTTTACTTTTTTCTACTCTCCAGTCTGACAAAAGAATGCAGTAATGATATGAAAATTATACTTGCTGTGTCAATCTTGCTGCTTAGTCTACTAAGACCAGTTTTGTGCTGTTGAATCAGTAAAATGTATATCAGATATTTAGTGTATCTCTGGAATATAGTGAATTGTACAGTAAAATTTAAAAGGTTTCTGTGTTTTGTTTTCACAGGTTATGTCTTTCTAGCTTGTTCTTTTTTGATCTTGGGATATCTAGTGGTGTACATCTTCAAATGCATCTAGTTTTCTCAGATGCTCAAGTCAATATGTACATGAGAAAATACTAAGTTAAATATTTATATTTTACTGGATGCTGATTTGTTTTCTTAAATTATTGATAAAATTTCAACATACAGAAGTTTTCATTTAGTCTCAGGAAAAAATTGTATCCCTAATCCATCAATCCTGTTTTACAATATGATCTTCCTGCAGTGGTGTTTATCTGGAAATATAAAGGCATTGTTTTACGGAAGTCCATATGAAGTGATACTTAGGAATATGTCAGTGCGGTATCGCTCTTGAAAATAGGAGGAGAAATCTGAAATTCAGCAATCTAGTGCTATAATTATTTTTGGAATGTGAATTGCAAAACTTGTTTAATGGAGTACCATACTTTGTATTATACATCCAGTTTCATTTACTGGTTTAAGTCTGGCAGAATGATTTGAAACACGCAGCTCACTTTACGTAGTCCAACTGTTCTGTGCAACTTGGCCAGCTATTCAAAAAAAGATAATTTCACTGACTTAAACATGAAAACAAAGCATTACATACACTAGTGACCTCCTGACCATTGGACTCAGTAGCTTGTTTTAGTTGTAGCACATCTTCCAAACTCTAATGTTCAGGGAAACATGGAGAAATCCTGTTGGCTTTGGTGCCTAATAGCCTCAGTGTTTGTTTTTAGCTTACTTGGCTGACTTCAGCTTTCTGCTTATGGTATTTTTTTTACTTTTTTCAGTCTTAAAAATAATGATATGGTTTCTGGTATTTTCTTTTATACAGTGTAATCAAGCTGCTACTCAGTCTTTTCAATGAACTAAGATTGACAGTTATGCTTATCATATATCAGTTAAGATTAGAGCACATTTAAGGCCTTACCTTTAGCATACTTTTAAAATTTCAGACCATATCTCCTTGTTATTGGTACAATTTCTGTAAAAAGTAGATTTATTTTTTTGGGGCCTCAACTCACTATTCTTATGTTCACATATTTAGGAAAAATACTTGCTATTTCTTTCATAGGAAGTACAGCATTGTTTGGCACTCCAATGTTGTGTCCTTTTCCAAAATGTGTTTTTCTTTTTTCTTTTTTGTCTCAATGATTAGCTTTTTTTTGTTTCTAAGTTATTTACTTGGCTGTATCTAAATATAAATATTCAAATATTTCTTTAATAAGGCCAGCTTCCAAACCAACAGATTCCAAGTGATCTTTGAGTTATCCTTGCCTTCATTATTATTTACTGCACAACTGGTCTTTATAAGCAGACTCTTGTCATCATTAAGAATTCCTTTGATTTATTTTGTATATGTATGCCACCTCTTATCCCATAGAAGTGCCTATTTCTTTCCACAGAGTAGAAGGAGCTACAAGTGATAAACTTGGTTATTAAGTGCCTGTCCTGTAGATGCCTGCATTTGGCAAGAAGGACTCCACCTTTCATGTGTACTATAGTAGTATTTTTGCTGGTAATTTTAATTAGATTTATGTAGAATAAAGCACAACACAACTAGTACAGTGTATTTACACACTAACCTTTTACTATAACTAATTATAAAAAAAAACACACCAAACAAAATCAAATTGCTGTGTGGTTTCTTTTTATAAAACCTATTTTCTATAAATTTTTTATTTCTTTCATTCCCATACTTCCAAGTTTGCATAAAATAAATTGTCTCCATGTCTTCTCTCTATTTTAAGTGGAATAAAAAACAAGCAGACTTTTCAGCTAGCTGATCTTGAGTCATGATATCACTATTTTTTTCAGTCTTGTCTATCCTCTCCACCCCTGTTTTGCACTTAATTCCAGAGTTCTTTCATTTTTTATACTAAGATGTGTCTAAGCCTGCTGACATGTGTTTTCTTAATGTAATTGAGGAAAACCAGCAGAACCAAAGGTATCTGCAGTTCTGGGTGCAGCAATTCAATCATGCTTTTAAATTCTGCAGTACTTCAGAATTCCATCTAAAAGCAGTGAAGATCAGTTTTGCAGCTCTGCAATACAATAAAGCGTGAAATTGTTATTGTGTTTTCTGTTCAGTGTTGCAGTGGTTGTATTAGAGTGTCTGTTTTAATTAAAAAGTTTTGCAGTGGAAGAATAACATCAGTGCTTTATAATCTTAAATATTTGAGGTACTATAATTTAACATGTCTGGAGTTTTCAAAAATAACCAGCTTGGGCATCAGGAGAACACATGGAAAAAAATAAAGCAGCATTTTTTGTTCCATGCATGTTTAATATATTATGTAACTGCTATAAGAAATCACTCAGTGAACTTCAAGCAACTTCAGGGAATTGAATGCATTTTAAACTTGGTCTATAATATATAAATTGTTCAAATAAGCCTCCTCATATTATTTGAAATACCTGCATGATTCTGTAATGTGTGTAATCCAGGTTTCTAGTTAATCATTATAACTGTCATTTTTACTCAGATGAATTCTGTAGAACAAATTTCCAAATCAGAGGAAACTGACAAAACAGAGTCCAAACCAAAAAATGCAAAGAAAGCATTAACTACTTTTAAAGGACCTTTATTACATATCAGGTAATAATAATTTTCTTTTATATTTTTTTTTACAATGTGCATTGGACACTTGAGTACTGAACTAGTTGAGACTATTAGAGGAAAGCAATAGTTAAACATTCTCCTAAGAATGATTTTTACAAAACTCAATTTTTCTGGTTTTACATGTTTTTAATGAATCTTGGTGTCGCTGTTGGCATGCTTTTTGTACTAGTTGGTAGGTTTATATTTCATAGAATTGTAGAAGCATTTCATGGTTTCATTTATATTGAGAAATTGTCATTGGTTTTAGTTAGACCTGTGCTCATCTGTAATGAAAGCAATGATTTGACATTGTCTGTGATTGTCATTGGCTTAAAAAACAATGTGTTTCTTAAGACAGCTTTTGCTGTTAAATCTTGTGTAAATTATTTCAACTTGATGGTGTAGATGTCTACACACGTAGTTTGCACCAGTTAATCACAGAATCATTGAGGTTGGAAGAGACCTCTCAGATCACGAAGTCCAACTGTCAACCCAACCCTACCATGGCCACTGAACCATGGCCTGAAGTGCCACATCCACCACTTCTTGAATCCCTCCAGGGATGGGGACTGTACCACCTCCCAGGGCAGCCCCTTCCAGTGTTTGACCACTCTTTCAGTAAAGAAATGAATGGGTGCAATTTATTTAATGTGGGGAGTGCTCTGAATAAATGGCATATCTACTCAGAAGATTTTGTCATCCAACGTGCTTTTACATCTTGCAGTGAATCTGCTTTTTATCACTAAACTAGGGGAAAAAACCACCAATTAGCCAATATAGTTTTTTCTTTTCAGTGCCTTTCATGTTAAGATGCTTGTTGGGAAAATGATGTAGATGTTAACTTTTATTTTCACTTCCAGTTTGCTATTAGATGAATGAAGAAAATATCTAATTTATAGGTAATTCCTTAGCTAACTTTAAGTGCTGTACTGAATCAGTTTTGAAATGAATTTGAATAATGATGTGCTCGTTAGTGTAAAAAATTTTGTATGTGTCATTTTCCTGGTTTTGAAACAGAATTATCTTTATAGTCCTTCATGTGCTAAGACCTCATCGGTATAGGCTTAATTTCTTGTATGGCAGGACACAGAGTACAGAACTGTGATTTTTAAAGAATGTCTAAACTTTCGTGTCCTGAAGACAAAGGAAGCTGTGTTGTTCCATCCACTTCTTAAGAAACAAATCAACAAAAAAACCCCAACCAAAAAAAATACACCAACCACAACCCCCACACAAGCTGTGCCTTTTATTATCTTAAAATATTTTAAGTTCCACCATTGAATGGAAGTGTTGGAGTCCACTATTGAGGTCTTGCTGTCATGGAAAATAAAATACTGATGTCTCCATTGTTCTTGCTGTTTGTTTGGTGTGGGTTTTTTGTTGCCTCCCTTCACCCCCTCCCGTTTTTTAAGTAAACTCTTGACAGTATGTGCAGCTGTTGCTTTTTATGAATATTCAAACTCTGTAGGAGCTAGAATGAGATTTTCTTTCCCTGGAATCTTTGTCAGGACACTGAACTGACATTTATTGAACTGATAATATGTAGTGCCACTTTAAGTAATCACAGGCACCCATTTCAAACCCTGTAAGCTCTGCCAGTATAATTAGGTGGTATCCTTGCTGATAGCAGCATTGCCCTGTGAAGGGAGCAGCTGAAGACCTGAGCAGGAAGCTGAGGCAGAGCAGCTCTGGTACCATGCAGTCCCCAAGAACCGGCAGCCTTTTCTGTGCCTCTCATTGCTGCTACAGCAGACCCAGTGAGGCCTCCTTAGACCCCTGCAGGGACATCCCTTACCTGATGCTGCTTAGTGCTTGTTGGCTCTGGTGTGTGACCAAAGCTGGGTGCTTGTGCTCTTCTGTTTTTCATTTTTGTAGTCATACTCTGTAATCATTTGTCTCCCTGGTTTAAACCACCATTCTGTTTGCCTTGCATACCTTACTGTGAAAGACTGGTCTTTATTGGCCTTCCTCCATAAATGAATATACTTAGTAAGACAAAAAAGCAGCAGTTTACTTGTACGGTCTGGTAGAAGACTAGCTCATGTTGTAGTGTATTTCGAGACAATTTCTAGTACAAGCTGAAAGGGTTGCCCCGTACACATCAGAGTAAAGAAAGTAGTAGCTATTTAAAAAGCACCCCACCCTTCCCACAAATACGTGCCACCTACCCTCAACACTATGGAACTGGTTGATTCTGCACACAACAAGCATACAGCAGTGGCCCTCAAACCCGATTTCTTTTAAGGCTGATTGTTGGTTTTTTTTTCTTCAATATCTGCAGTTGGTAGGTGAACAAGAAATATCAGTCTCTGGCAAAATGATTCTTTTCTTGATCAGTTTTTGGGGCTTGTTTTGATGGTAGTTTTTGCTTTCCTGTCTAAGTTAATCTTGCGATTGCTGTAACACATAGCTGCAATAGTACAGTGTTAAGATAACCAAAATACTTTGTACCTACAACTCTTCCTTTCACTGCTGTTGTTGGCTGTTGAAGTTGAGAATCTGGAAACAGGAAAAGAAACCTGAGAGGAGAAGAGAAGGATAGAGTTACCCTATTAATCTGTTTTAAACTCAACAATTTCTTGCTTTCTGCCTCACTTAGCACACTTCCTTCTTCCCCACCCACAAGAAATAAAATTTCCATAGAAATAAAATTTCTTGTCATTGTGGACTGTAATGCATTGTAAAACATAGCACCCCACACGCACACCATTGGGTTCCTCACAAAGCATGGGGGTTCAGGCTTGCCCTGCAGCATCAAGAATTTTTCTCAGCTAATACATTAGTTTGGTTAAGTGACAGGAAAAAGAAGGATTGGTACTATGAAAGGAGATCTTCTGAGGAGGATGTCAACCTAACATGAAATTGGCATTATAAAAAAGAGAGAAGGGGGGGGGGGAACATTACACATTTTTTGAAAAAGGCTTACTGTCAAAAGAACACGCAGTTGCGTAGCCCTATGTTTTTTTGTGTAATCTGAATGTTACGTACTGAAAGAAAACAGATTTTCACTTGTTACTGAGTTTCCTCTCAACTTTGTATTATGTGAGCATGCCCTATTTTTTGCCTAGTTAGCCTTCATTTGAATGCTTATTCTGAAATGACGTGTTAGATACAGTTTAAAAGAATTCATGCATGACTCTCCTAATTGCAAAAGATAGTAAAAACAAGCAATAACTTTATTTATACATGTGTCTCCAGAAGCACATGAAGACTGACTCATACGTTCAAGTGAAGTTAGCTGTAGTGGTTAAAATTATTGCCACTTGCAGATACCTGCTAGCTCCTTTCATGTGTGCACTATACTTGTTGCAAGGCTAGATGGAGGAAGTGGCAGTTACTTCCTGTCTGTAACACCTTATAGTCTTCAATATTACCATAAATTAAAATGAAGCACTCCTCCCTTAACGTACTGCTCTGATGCAGTGACTCACGTGACTGTATGTATCTGTTGGCTATTTCTGCTGTTGCAGATG